GCTATAGCTTTTATGTATTATCCTTGCATATTGGATTTTAATTCCTTGCAGCTTCCTTCCTTCAGAAACTTCACTTGTTAAATATAACATAAAGTGGAACTGTTGCTCCCATCTGCTTTTTGTCCTTTTGAATTATCACCAGGTCGTTTCTTTATTCCCCAGAACAGAATCATTTGCTATTTTAAATTTCTGGCATTTTCTCCATTTTAATTTTTAATTGGTACCTTTGAAAATGTTGTATATATAGTTAGTACGATTAACAATTGTTTTCCTTTAATTTTTGTGCTGAAATTTTCCTCAGATACACGTTCACTGGAATTTATACCTTTGAATCACTAATAAAAATTCTTGCAAGGGGCTTCTGTTTAGAAGGTTTCACGTTCCTCCGGGATCCCTGGAATTGGTTGGATTTCACAGTTATAACATTTGCGTAAGTGTTTCATTGTGTTCTGATTATTTTTCTTTTGAAGCATTTAATAGAGAGTGATCTCAGGAGAAAGGTTTATTCAAGAAGGAAAAGTATTTTGAAGGTTTTGTATAACAATAAATTAATCTCCTTTATTCATGTTATTTACTTTTTAGCATGTCAGAAGCAGTCTGGGCTATAGAGCAAAATAGTGTGTTTGGCCACTTGCTTATAATAAATTAATACACCACTTCTCAAATTCCCAAATTAATTTTCACTAATAAAAAACAATATGATTTATGCATTGACTTATTTAATTTGAAGGTCAGGAAAGCATATTAGTAAATACAAGGCAATTGCAGCAAAGAGAGACAAGGTGTTAATTAAAAAACCCCCAGCAAGTAGCCTAAGCTCTGCCTCAATTCTGAATAACTGTGGTTTAATTCTACAGGTATATAACAGAATTTGTAAACCTAGGCAATGTTTCAGCTCTTCGAACTTTCAGAGTATTGAGAGCTTTGAAAACTATTTCTGTAATCCCAGGTAAGGAGTGGCTTGACGAAGTGCCAGGCCCCTGGTATTTCCAGCTGTTTTTTGTGTGCTGTCATTGTGTTTGTATGTGAACTCCCCTATTACAGATATGTGACAGAATTTGTGGACCTGGGCAATGTCTCAGCGTTGAGAACATTCAGAGTTCTCCGGGCATTGAAAACAATATCAGTCATTCCAGGTGAGAGCTAGGTTAAACCCAGAGGCTGACTTTTTAGAACTCTATGGAAGATGAAATCATCTTTTTAAGCATAAGCCATGTTGCTCACTGCGCAGTAGAAGCAAAAATAAAAAGCAAGAATCAAAAACATTACTTTCAGTCTAATGTGATTCTTTGCTTTTTAAATATTACAGCTTAAATTTTATTTCCAGTCCAGCCTTTGTGTTTAACACATTCTTGCATGAGACATTTGCAGTAAGTGGCTATACAATTTGCATCTTATGACATCAAGCTTTCCACTTTTAAATTAAAGGACAACATAGTGAGGCTTTCATATTGATGCAAATTTTATCATTTTTGCAGGCACTTCAGATAAACTTGCAATCTGTTGTTTATATGCTTTTTAAAAAATATAATGTGTAAAATATGCAGAACATGAAATATAGCATGGACCATGCATGGGGATTTCCTAGAAGTTGTGTGCCTTCTCCAAACCATCACCTGTTCTATACCATAAGATTTAATCCAGTATCATTAAAATAGCTTATATCATATACACTTATTAATAAACATAAACTGAGGCACATTGTTGAATACATTACAAAGTGGTCTCACAATAAAGGTTTGAGCAAGAAACACAGCAAGTGAAAATAATGTGCTTTTCCATAGAGATGTAGCATGGATAGCAAAATTGTATGTTTTGCTTAGGCCAAGTGTTTCTCTGATTACATACAATGTATATTTATCTATAAATATAAATCTATTTTATTTGTATATTAAATTGGAGATCAGCATATACTTAACAGCTACTCATTCATGTTCATAGGCAATCAGGCTTTTCATGAAACTCACAAAGACAATTCATTTCATTGCCATACCGCATGAAAAAGTACTTGAATCAACATATTCTTATGAAGTCTTGAACACTATATCAAAATTGCTTCTTTCTTTTTCTTGGCTTGCAGGCCTGAAGACAATTGTAGGGGCCCTCATTCAGTCTGTGAAGAAGCTCTCAGATGTCATGATCTTGACCGTGTTTTGTCTGAGTGTATTTGCACTAATAGGGCTCCAACTTTTCATGGGGAACCTGAGGCACAAATGCCTGATTTGGCCACCTGACAATTCTACTTTTGAAATAAACGTCACTTCCTACTTCAATAGCACAATGGGAGAAAATGGTACCTATGTAAATACGACAGTGACCACTTTTAACTGGGACGATTATGTCAGTGATGACAGTAAGAACTGATTATTTATTTTATCTATTTATCAAATGTATTGGCCGCCCATCTTACCATAGGGTAACTCTGGGCAACTTACAGTTACATCTTAGTTAAAACATAAAATGTTAAAATCAAACCTTAAAACTTATATTCTTCATGTTT